CGGCAACGGCGCCAAAAACTTGACACGCCAAAACACAACACCAATCTGCGACCAAGTGTAATCGCAGACCGGGAATGCAGTAACAGGCAAGTTATATTATCAACCCGGGGGTCTAGGTCTACTGCTTACTCAGTGATTCTCTATTATCTAGCCAACTAAAGTAAGTGATTGTTGTTTAAAAGCAAAAGCAAAAAGAAAGCAGGAATTTATACGGTTTTCTCAAGCAGGTAAGAGTCACTCGGGAATGAGTCCCTAGCTCCTTAGTTAGGTTTCAATTGTATTTCCCTGGGTTGATTTACTGTTGTTTAGACTGCGGAAGATCCGACAGTAGCTTGGAATCTCTTAAGCTGACCAAGCCCTCTTAGTCTAACTACCCGGCAGACGACTAGTCTTCACCGGGATAGAAAGCTGAAGCAGTAAGAACAGAACTCCACTACTGGAATTGGATTCCAGTACAAAGCAGTAAACTGGCTAACTCTCGTATAGCCAATCTCCTACTATCGAATGATGAGACTCTAGCAACCTAATCAGATTCTATCTATCTCAGATTGCAGCAGGAATCAGGAAAAGTTGATCAGACTTCAATTGACTCAATAAACATGCATCATTCGATTAAAATCAAACAGTAATATCATCCCAAGTCATTACAATCAATCCCTAACACATAGAACTAGGGTTCTTCATCCCCAAGTGAGAGAGGGGTTCTACTCCATAGAGAGAGAGAGGAAAACAAGATACAAAGCAGTCATACTCATAATTATGGGAAGAATCTTCTCTGGGATGATGATTTCCACTCCTATGACGATCTCCAAGCTTGATTTGATGAAACCCAGCTCCAAGATAGCTTCTAGTATGTGTTCTTCGTCCTTTCTCTCTCTAGGGCTCTGTTTTTGCTCAAAAAGTCCGATTTTCTCTCTTGCAGCCCGAAATTGGGTTAAAACCAGGAAATCCCGACTCACACGGGCTGGGCCACACGGCCGTGTGGCATACCCAGTTGCTCGTGTGAGTCAAAACGCTGCGTTCCAATTAGTTCGATCTTCAGGCTTCTCACACGGTCAGGGTCGCACTGCCGTGTGAGATTTCCATCTGCCCGTGTTTGCTCTCGGCGAAACTCGCACGGCCAAACCACTCCTTCACACGGCCGTGTGAACATCAGGGCAAGCCGTGTTTGCTCTCGCACAATCTCACATGGCCAAATAGGTCACTTGCACGGCCATGTGAGTTGTGGGTGTGCCCGTGTGGTTTCCTTTTTGCCTTGTCTCGCGCCCGATCTTCGTCCAATCGACCCCAAACTCGCTCCCAAGCCTCCATTCACGTACTAGGACCTGAAATATCACAAACAAACACAACCTAGCGTGAAATCGGCCTAAAACACGAGAAACCACATCTCAAACGGTGTAAGAACAGGGGTGAAAACATGTGTAATTAACGGTCTATCACCAACCTTCCAGCGCCGTCGCCTTCCTGCTCTCGGTGTTTTTTCTCGTCTGAGAAGAAGAGGGAAGAGAAGAAGGAGAAGAAAGGGAAAGGAAGGAGTCCAAGGCTGGGATTTGGTCGGAAGAAGGTTAGAAACCATTCTATGGAGTCGGAATCCAAGTTGGTGTGATGGGTCATCGGAGCTTTGCCAGAGTATGGCTAGAGTGTCGCCGGAATCTGAAAAAATACGAAGTTCAACCAGAATTCAAAAGGTGGGTATGGTTGCGTAGAGGGAAATCCCAGAATCGTCGTCGTGTTGACGAAATCGAATTCCGACGTCGGATGAGGGGTACCGGAGCCTCGGAAGTTTGGAGGAACCAGAAACCAAGTTACGGCCGTAACCTTTGGTTCAAGCCATAACTTTCGGAATCTATTCTGCCTCCCATGACCCCGAGTTACGGCCAAAATGGCAAAGTTACGGTCTCAACCATAACTTTGGATAGGCTACTGTCTTTCGATACTTTCTCCCTCATTCAAACTCCAAATCAGTCGTCGTTCGATCGCAGACGCTTGTAGTCTCGTCCTCTTTATTTTTATGCCTAGCTTACATGATTCTTTGTCCATAAAATGAGGTAGAAAGCTATTCTTCCTTGGTTCATGCCAGTGTTTCTTCTCCCGAGTCGCCAATTGATCTCCAATTGACTTGAAACTTGCACCTATGCTTCACTATACGTGCTAGTACCTGAAATGTGACAAATTAACACATCCTAGCGTAAAATAGGTCAAAGTATGATAAACATCAAACTAAATAATCAAGAAATGAGAGGTAAAAATATGTGCAAACTCAGTGTTATCACCATTTCATATTTAATTTTAAAGATCCGACACATATTTCACTGCATATTTTTGCCACCTATGGCAAGGTTGAGAATTTAGATGTCAGTACAAGATATGTTGGCATGACGAACATGAAGAAGATGTGATTTTCGTTTCCGAACTTGGGGGAAAACATAGATAAGCCGAATGACGGGAAGGGTGCAAAAATGGTGATTTTCGACCAATAAATGGTAGTTGAACTTGACATGAGTTGAACTAATGAGAAAGATAAAGGGAGGAAAGAGAGGCAATCAATAGAAACTACAAAGGAATACATGAATATATGGGTGATCGAGATGCGACAACCCTTTTCTTAATTTTAGGGTGATGCGACAATTTTCTACTACTGCAGTAAATTTTGTGGTCTTTTAGTTTGGTAGTTCAAACAAACATATGCTACTCGCTTTGATTTTTTGGCATCAACGATTTTTGACTCGTACCTTTTAGAACTCCTTGCATTTAGGAACATCATCTCATTTGCGACCTTAAGAAGATTGTCTCGTGTTATCCTTGAAGACAATGCAGAAGTGGCCATCCGTTATCTCAGCCAAGTGTGGTGGAGGATTCCATTGAAGGACCCCCTTTCTTTGTGATTGTAGTATTCTAGCTTAACCCTTATCTCATTGTATAGATTCTAGAGTGGTTTCACGTACGGCCAACCACTGAGCTAACAACTGAGCTGCACATAGAGTAGCATGTAAAGCCTTGCTTTATACCATTTAGAGTTGGCAGATTTTAATTTTGTAAGGTGACTTTTAAGTGAGATGAGTACTGGATTATACATCTTTCTAACAATTGTCTTGTCATTCGTGAAAAAAATAAAATTTGTGGCTTGGCCTACTTCCTAAAACTACTGAATCATTGTGGGCTTCAAGAAATGAAACAAGCCACGCTGCGGAGGGCGGCTCCACTTTCTTGTGTGTGTTCGAAAAGCCCAAATAGAGCAGGCCCCCATGAGCCCATGTACCCGCTCAACGCTCTTCAGTGTTCAGTTCACAAACTGGCTAGAAACACGCCGTTGGGGTCCTTGATGTTTGTTGGGCTCCTACAAATTGCCAGACGAGGCGGCAAAATTTCCCGGCTTCCCTTCCGCCTCGTTCTCTCGCGCTTGCACTTCCGAGCGGCGAGCGGCGAGCGGCGATCTCGCCGGAGGAGTACCGCCGTTCGGAACAGCTGGTAAACAACGTCTTTTTCCGAAAGCAATGGTGAAGACCAAACATCAGAAATCGAAGCCCAAAAAAGCTCCTAAGGTAACGACCCCCTACTATATACAACTCTCGCGCGGTTTCGCCTTTCCGCGGCCAAGCTCGATCGCTCTATCCAATAGCAATTATATGATAGCATGACGGTCAAAACCCGTGGAGCAAGTTTTCGTCTTTTGCAGCACCATCGCAAATTGTTGATTGGCTTGTTTTAGCTCGTTGATGTTTCAAACTGCCTGTTGATTATGATTCTTCTTATTAGGAGGAGGTTTTCCAAGCAGATTATTCCAATTAATCAGTACGTTCTATGTGAGTTAAAGCAACTATTGTACGTTTGGGTTGTAGGTGAAGCAACAAGGAAAACAAGCTGATCTGACTCTGTTTCGTGGCCAGTTGGATGGGTTGGGCCTAAAAATCGTTCAAGTAACTGCTGATGGTAACTGTTTCTTCAGGTTTGTTTCCCCCCAGTCGATTTGTCTGTTCAGCTATGTGTTGGAGATAACATGATCATTGGTTATAGGGATGGAGATTGAGGTCTTTTTTTCGGTTTTCGTCTGGGTTTCCTGTAGTGGCTTACTCTTGTTAGTTTACAGGAGTCTGGCAGATCAGTTAGATGGAAACGAGGAGGAACATGGGAAGTATCGTAGTATGATAGTCCAGTATATACGGGTAAGCATGTAGTGAAGCGAGTTTTACTAAGTTAATCTTATGTCCAGTGTAGTGTCGTCACTCTAGGCTAACTTTTTCGAAAAGGCTTTTGCTAGCTCGACATACTGAGTGCCTCTGATTGGAATGATCCTTGGGTTTTTTTTTTATCAGGAAAATCGCGAATTGTTTGAGCCTTTTCTTGAGGATGATGTGCCCTTTGATGAATATTGCCAACAAATGGGAAAGGATGGCACATGGGCTGGACACATGGAGTTGCAGGCAGCTTCCCTTGTTACAAATAGCAACATTTGCATTCACCGGGTAGGGTCCTTTTTAAGTAGTGTTTGTTAACTCCTTCGAAACTGGTGAACTGGATAAATGCAGTGTTTACTCAATCTCTCTGATCCACTCTAGGAACCAACCCTAATCTTTCAATGGGCTTATTCCAACTTTCTTGTGTAACATCTTGAATCCATTTAATCTATTTATAGAAGTCATAGAACTTCTTTTGTTTGTGCTTCCAACTGCAACAGTAAGCTAGGCAAAGTGAGGCAGTGGTGTGCCCAGGTTGCTTTAGAATGCTTAGGCTGCTGTGTTCTTCCTTATAGATTCTTATCAGGTAGCATTCCAGCTATTAACATGTAGTGTGCAGTGTGCTGTAAGATCAGCAGTGCACAAAATGCGTGACGAATAGTCTTTGTTGGAAATACAAAATTCAAAATCATGTTTCGTTCTCTTGGGGGAAATGAGGACCCTTTAAGGAAACCTACTTTAATCAAATGGGATTCCAAAATCGGAATAACAACATACTTAAACAAGAACATGTTTCTGATAGCAACGATATAACTCCTTTACCGGTAGGATGTGTTAGTTTGAAGATGATGTATCATGCACGTCTACCAGTGAGTTTATGCATGAGAACCTCATCTAATTGCTCCGACTTACATAATTTCATTCTGCTCATTTGAACAGCACATGTCACCACGTTGGTATATTCAGAATTTCGATCAGCGTGGAGCTCGTATGATTCATTTGTAAGTAGTGCAGAATCTCATTGTTTTTATGAATTCATCTCGCTTTTGTTCGTAGAGTCCGATTTTGAGTAGTTTATTCAACGCATAGAGGGGCGTAGTCACCATCGTGCATGATGGCAAAGTTAGAAGGGATTAATTTATCTCTGATGTCTGGAGGGGTTGCTTTATTTGAGGGCATGTATATTGGATGTCAGTAATGTATATCAAGGAGTATCTTCATATATATTAGTAATATTTTTCCAGATCCTATCATGATGAAGAACATTACAATAGTCTACGTTCCAAGGAAGACCTGTGTGATGGACCAGCTAGGCCAATTGTTATAAAGGTTTTTCATAGATCTTTCACACTTTTGAATTCATTCAATTCAGCAGTCAACTCATCTGCACAACCTGATAATTTCCACTTTGTGTAAGGCTGATGCTACTCTTTCTCAAGTGAAAGCTGCTTCAAGCAAGTCCAACGGCTTAGTTCTGGGCAACAAAGCTGATTCAGGATCCGTCAAAGTAGTAATGGCAGGAAGTGGATGTGAAAATATTGAAAAAGTTGAACAGGTTAGCAATTAGCAAAGTATTCCTCGACTTTCACCCTATCATCGCAGTTGTTCGACAAATGTCGTGCAGCTACTTGTTGCATTGTTCATAACTGATTTGCTTGTAGGATGTCTTTGTTGATGAGTTCTTGTGTTTTTTATTTATTTTTGTCCTTGTTAAGCTAGGTCTTATTGCAAGTACATGGTGATGTTGATGCTGCAATAGAGTATCTAATAGCAGAACGAGAATCAGAAAACTACTCAATAGACAATGGTTCCCTTCCATGTCAAGCACACAGTTTTTCTGGTAATGGCCGTTCAATAATTTCTATGAATATGCTCAGGAATACTAGAAAGAACATATTATATTTCCATAAACTGACAAGAAATCTGCTTCGATCTTTCATTCTGGAGAATCAAAATGTTCTTTCCAGATGGGTGTAATGTAATTGCCACCTACATATAAACTATTAAGACAACTTTAGTTCTGAAGTCTTAAGAATGTTGTGGTGCGGGAAATCTGGTTTTGTTGATTATATATTTGTTTTGGACGAGAATTCTGTTATGTTTTAATCTTTGTTTAGCTTTCTATTTTCAGTCATCAGCATTGCTTACCCTAGCTTCTGCACTGTTCTCATATCCTGTGTTTTCTTTCACTTTGATTACTAAGAAAATCTAGGAGATGATGTGGATGGAAGATGTGACCAAAGCCTGGAAGAGTTATCAAATAAGACCCGCAAGCACGAGCATCTAATAGTCCTGTCAAAGAAAGCACTAAAGATACTAGCTCAAAGACAGATGATAAGGTATTTACTGAAACAAGGGGAAAAGGAGATCAAAAGGGTTTTGATTTTCCCCTAATTCGGGTTATGTTCAGAGTTCAGTGCATCTTTGGAAATCTGGCGGGCTGTATTGTTTCATATGCATGGGACTTTTTCTACTGTTGTTTTCGCAGAAGATACCAAGAAACAAGGTCTGTCCATGTGGATCTAAAAAGAAGTACAAGTCTTGTTGTGGAGTGGCTAAGGGGAGATCCTCTTCTATGATAATGCGGTATGCTCTTTGGCTTAGCTAACAATGTGTCTGAAGTTGGGATCTTAGATGGTTTGGTCCTTCGGAAAATGTTGCTTACTTTCTAAATGGAGTATATTTTCTCGGTCTCTGAACTAATTATACTTGGCAGGAACCAAGCAATTGAAACTGGTTGTGGAAGGGTTAGAAAGGACAAGAAACAAAACAAGAAAGGAGGACATGCTGAATCTCTGCCTTCATGTGGATCTGAAAATGGACCACTTGACATGGGCGCCCTTTGTATATAAACTCGAGTTTCATGTGAGTAAATTAACCCATTCCTGCTGCTCTTCCAATATAATGACAATTTTGGCTTAAGGCCTCAAAGAAGTTTGCTTCTCACTCGATTAAGCTTGACATATGAAATGTGAGCATAGATGCGATAAATTGCAGGAACTTTTAATTTACTCTTTGAACTGTTGATAGAGGATCTAATTCCATGTCAGATTGATAGGTCTATTGGGTTTGTTGCTTTGCATTCTTAGGGGTCAGAACCTCGACCTTAAATTCAGCAGCAATCATTCAGCCACAGATGCAAGATCCCTTATACACCGGCAGTCACACTTGGAGAAGTAACAAAAACATGGTAAGAAAGATTGGAAAAGGAGGGTGCTTCGAAGAAAATGTTGGCCGTCGAATCTCTCTCTTCTTGCAAAGGTATGCTGTGCTGTGCCGTGCCTAAGGACTTCGATTTATGCTGTGCAGTGTGTAACCATGTTCATAGGGTCAGAACTGGTGAGTAATTAGTTGAATGAAGGCATGGATCACCTTGAGCTCGGGAAGTATTAGAAGCACTGGCATGTATCCAAAACACCAATGGACAATTTTATTACGGTTGAGGTTTTGTAGTATATCAAATGAGTCGCTCTGTATTATTTTTGTAATGTGGTTAGGCTCTCACTTATATCTGTCTAAATGATGAGCTTCATGCAATTGTCAGCAGTTAGTGAATGATAATTCTGCTGGGATCCATTTGAAGTTGAAATTTCTGATCAGTGGAGTGATTTTGTGATCCAAGGGGCCGGTTCGACCCGACTTGTTTTGAGCCGGAATTTTCCTCCGCACAAGCCGCATGAGGCTGGGCATAGGTTCTCCGTTTGCCTCTCCCAATTCTCATTCTAATTCTGTCTAAGGTATCGTTTGCTTGTGGGATTTGGGTGATGGATTTGGTACCCAAATCCCAAGCATAATGGAATTGGCACAAGTCCATTGTTTGCTAAGGGACACAAATCCGTGGGGCCCACGGATTTGGACCCATTTTTTAGATCCAAATCCGTGGACCCCACGGATTTGCAAATCCCACATTTCATTTGGGATTTGATAATGGAAGGCAAAATGTGAACAAATCCATCATGAATCTATTACAAAAATAAACTACACAAACAATGTACTCTTCCAAATCCATAATGCAACAAATCCATCATAAATCCAAAGGTTTTGAAAACTCAAAACCCTCATTTTCAAATCCAACAAGCAAACGAGCCCTAAATTTACTCAGTTTGCTTTTAACCGATTGTATTTTCAGACTTAAATAGTAAATACCACACTCTAGGGTTATTTGGATAAGCAATTGGATCAAGTTGGGGGATCAAGAAGGATAGTTACTAGAAGATCGATTTGATTTGTCCGTTAAACAAAACTAAATGGAGGGGAAGACTTCATGAAGTCGTCATAAAAGAACTAGACGAGTCAAGTAGAGAAATTTTAGCCCAAGCTTCCACATAAACCCATAATGGCCTTGTGATGGTGCCAGCTATAGCTATTAAGACATAATGCGACCCTATCAACCTGCCCGATGGAGTCCACCCACAACCCGCCTGCAACTCGAGTTTACTAAAGTCAATGACTTGTAACCCACCCAACCTGTAACTCGATTAGTCCGCAATCCGATTGGCTTTTAACCGAATCAACCTGATTGAACCAGTAATGCGACTAACCCATAACCCGATTGACCCACGATCCGACTAACTTGTAACCCAATTGGCCCAATCCTAACCCACCTTATTGATCCGCGTAGTTACTATACTATATAATATGTGGTCTTCCAAAATGAAGTTTTGGTTCGAAACCTAGGTGAAGCAATTTTTTCATTTCCAAAAGTTTAGCTTAAAATATGAAATTCATCTTCGATTAACAAGCTTCAAGAAACACTCATCTCGAGTTGGGAGAGGGAAATAAACGAAGATTGCATCTTCGATTTTGGAGAAGAAGCACCCTCTGTAGCATCTTCCACATTAGAGCCACGATGAGAGAGGAGCAACGAATGGTAATCCCACCTACTCTTTATGAGTATTCAAGACCAAGAGCTTTGAATATTACTTTGAACATTGTTGGGCCACCAACAACCATGAAGATCCACACATCATTGTTGCATATGGTGAAACAAGCTGGAAGATTCGCAGGAAGGAGTGATGACCATCCGGGGCAGCCTCTAAAGGCATTCCTAGATATTGTAGATTTCAATCCTGGAGATGAAGCCACCAAAGGTGCCATTTAATTAAGAGTGGTCCCTTTCTCACTAATGGGTAAGGCGAAGAACTAGCTAGACTATAATCCGCCCAACCCCTTCACCAACTAGGAAACCCTGTTCCATGCATTCATCGAGGAGTTCTTTTCACCTTGGTGTACAAAGAAGTTTAAAGACGATATCACTAAATTCCAAGAGCATTTAAAGGTGTGCCCCCAACATCAATTCGTCCCAGAGCAAGTAGCAAAATACTTTGCTAAAGACCTATTTGTAAGAATGTGAACTCGTTTATCTTTATATCTATTGATGCTATGATTTCATATGATGCTTGTGTTTATGCTTATGGATGTCGATGCCCATCATGTGTGTATGGATGCTTTTAGTTTCGATAAGTTTATCTAGTTTAATACTTTCTTTTATCATCGATGCTTGTGATTCTACAATATATTATTATATTCATTGTGCTTAGTATCACCCAATACAGTCAAAATCGCGCTTTAAAACTTATAGTTTTACGCTTTTAGGTCACCAAAACGCTTTCGTTTCCATTTAAATCTTTACTGTATAAAATCGGGCTAAATTGCGTTTTAGAACTTAAAAACTTACGCTTTTATACTTCTAGTTCACCAAAACGCTTTACGCTTTTAGTTCACTAAATGCGTATTCTTTTCATGAAATTAATTATAAAAAGGCTTAATTGCAAGTTTGGTCACTCGAATTGCTATAAAATTTCATTTTTGCCACTCAAATTGATTTATTCCATTTATAGTCACTTAAATTAGTGAACAGTCCAAGTTCGGTCACTCTCCGTTAACCTCCGTTAGACTCTGTTAATGACGACCGTTAAGTGATGATGTGGCTAACATAAAATCACAGTGAGCATATTTTAACACTAAAAACGATGACCCGACTCGCCACGTCATATTTACCCACCATGTCAGCCCTACTTGCCCAACCCACGAACCAACCCAATAATTAACCCAACCCCAAACCCGAGACCCGACCCCCCTGAAAAGTAAATTGAAACAGGAAAGTGTAGGGCACTTTCTCTTCCTCCATCGTCATTTCATCCTCCCGCGTCTCTCCTCACCCAACTGTTCGCCGCCGCCGCCCCTCCTTCTTCGACGATTTGATTTTCGAACAGTTGGGTGAGGAGAGACGCGGGAGGATGAGAGGACGATGGAGGAAGGGAAAGTGTCCTACCCTTTCCTGTTTCGATTTACTTTTCAGGGGGGTCAGGTCTCGGGGTTGGGTTGGGTCAATTATTGGGTTGGTTCGCGGGTTGGGCAAGTAGGGCTGACATGGCATGTAAATATGACGTGGCGGGTCATGTCATCGTTTTTTAGTGTTAAAATATGCTGATTGTGATTTTCTTTAGCCACGTCATCACTTAACGGTCGTCATTAACGAAGTCTAACGGAGGTTAACAGAGAGTGACCGAACTTGGACTGTTCAACTAATTTAAGTGACTATAAATGAAATAAATCAATTTGAGTGGCAAACGTAAAATTTTGTAGCAATTCGAGTGACCAAATTCGCAATTAAGCCATTATAAAAACTATATTTTTAAGGTAAATTACCAACAATATGATATATTTGAGATTAAAAGATACATACAATGGTAGTTGTATTCATTCTCAGCTTCAATAGAGTTATATAATTCACCAGCTAGGTCCTTCTCAAATTCATTAGCATAAAGGGGAAGGTGGCTTATTGTTAAGATGTATGTTTATGAACTTATTGTTAAGATGCTATGAGTTGCTCTACTTTAGAAACGAATTGCATATATTTATTAACTTATCTAAATTCCATGCACTCATATTTTACATAATGTGTGTTGTACTTAACAAATTTTTAGTTATTTTACAGTATGCGTAAAAAACTTACGCTTTAATTCTACGCTTAACGATTTTTCCCTTCTAGGTAGAATCGCGCTTTTGACTGCATTGGTATCACCTAGGTTGTTAAGAAATTATCCTCTAGTGATACGACATTGATTCTACACGAGCATAGAGGGAATGACCAACCATCTATACCTCGAGTAGTGGCAATGCTTGATTGTTAGATCATCGATGCTATAGACCATCGATTATGGCTCAATAGACCTACACTTAATCATGTGATATTCTTACTTCTTTGTTCTTCATTGATTAGGTGATGGCATGAAGCAAAAACACGCATTAGCTAGTCAAGTTCCTATTGAAATAACTATCTTTACTTTTATGCATCTATATAACTTGAAAACCTCCTAAACATCATTTACTTTTATTTTTTGATTAATTTTGATGCTCATTGTATTTCTTATTGAAAGAACCTCTAGATCTTGTTATTGTTCTCATTGAAAGCATGGATGGTTTAGTATGTAGTTATGCATTAGAAGACCTTATGGAATACCAACCTAGGGCATCATATGATTTATCACTTGCATGTTCATGTCATCAGTGGTGCAACCGCAGTCGCCTCAACCCTCTCTTGAAGGAATTCGTAAAGAAAGTTGCGTGTTATCGTAGAAACATCTAGTGAGTTGTATGATTGTGAGTGAGGTTTGCTTGGTGACAAGAAAATTTCAATTGTGGGGTTATTTATTGACACGCGAAAAGTACTATTTCTGACCCCCCCCCCCCCCCCCCCATATTACAATCCATTCTTCATGGTTTTCATATTTTTAACATCATAATATCTTGAATTTGCTTCGTTATCACTCAAGTGTATTTTAGTAGCACTAGGCTTGTTTTATGATATTTGATGCACTCTTGGTAGTGTTACGCGTGTTTTCAGGGCATAGCAACCTAGTGGACCACTTTGGATAGTCGAAGCGACATCGTGAGTCGGCGACATGGAGCCAGAATGGGGAAATGGAAGAGTACTAAAACGGAAACATAATCACATAAAGGACACCTCGAGCGCCCTTTTTCGAATTGAACAAAATATTACAAATTATTCAAGGAATATACTCTATGTGGCCAACCTGGAAGAGACAGACGGGAAGCCAAAGACTCGTCGTTTGACTGTTCTCTCTCTACCAAAACCGTAATATAAAGTATATAATTAGACTTTGGGGGGAGGAGTTCAGTAGTCAGTGATAGGAGGCATTAGAGGGTCGTTACTCCACCTACAGAGCAACCTACTTGATTTAGAACGACATCTATCACTAGAGGGAAATTGGCGCCAAGATCGGCAACCTAGACCTCGAAACTCTCTATTTTGGGTACCAATTTTACATACTTAAAGGGATCATCATTTCAATTGATGAATCACATAGCTCTCGTCCCCATGGTCGGCTAGTTCTCTTAGTTTCATAGGTTTGCGAACACTAGAGGTTCTTGACTTTGTATTCTTGATTTTGCATAATATGATTGATGTTATTCTTATATCTTTTGTGTTTGATTTCTTTATGTATTCTTTTGTTAGATTGAATAATTGGTCTAAGTCGAGCTTGCATCCCTTTGTGGTGAAAGTATCTAAACCCTAGTCACATAGAATGAGACCGGACACGACAGTTCTATATGATCAATGAGATTGACACCTCAAAGGAGACATCCGTAGGGTCCTTGTTGCCTGCCAGATCACGACAAGAAGTCTCGGCACAAGGTAAGATACGTTGACATAAAAGATCTAGCAACACATACGTTGCCAAGATCGAGGTAAGAGCCAAGGATCTCTAGTGAGAGTTTTGCATGTGCAACACCTCTCTCTTCTGCTACCTAAACTCACTAATAGCTATATATTTCCTTTCCCGCATCGCACTTTACTTTAGATTTGTAAAACCGAGGGGACTTCAACTCCGGAGGAACCTCAACCTCCACGTCATTTTAAAACCACCATAGAACTCGTCGCTCACCACCTAAGTAAGTTGTTGTGAGAGAACCTAGGAAAATATTATTTTGGCCTTAGAGTCAGGTAAATTTGGACCTCTCCTACAAGCATATAAGTCGGTTTGTCAAGTGGTATGATTCGATCGTTGGTACAACCGATTTATGCCAATTCATGCCGGTTTTGGCAAAACATGTAAGAAAGTAGGGCTATTAGTAAGTCGATTATCAGTTAATCAATAAGTAATTTATGTTTACCATTAATCACATTGTTTATATTAGTCGGTTAATCATGGTCGTATAGTCGATTAACCGTGACCGTATAATCAGTTAACCAGATAACCGTTAAGTAAGTGATTCGACAATGTTAGACCAAAATAACCGATCAGTAACCTAACCAATAGAGGACCTCCTCCTTTTTTTCCAACTGCACATTTTTGTTATGTTTTTTCCCTGCATCTATTTGTTTTTATTTCATTTTTTATCATTAAATAAAATACAATTTAACATAGATATCACAACATAATCTACTCAATCCAACATAAGTATACCATGACACCATTCTACCATCAAATTTGATTAAAGAAGCAGACAAGATAAATAGACTCAACAACAATTATCCAACTCATAAACCTCATCAAATTACATGGAAGCTTATAAGTTAATTATTGTTGTCAAGCTACTATGCACAAGTCTATCTTCCATTGTGGTCTTTCAAAGGCCCTTCTTTGAACTTATTATCATTCGAACATAATCCACTAACGGTAAGGATGATGGTGATCGGTTAGTCAATTAACCGTTTAACAACCGATTAATAATTAGCTAAATTTGTCTCTCAGGAATCGACCATTTATTATTTAATAGGTTATCTTGTAACCATTACTACTGATTACCGGCTCGCTCATCTGTTACACCGTTAACATGATAATCGTTTAACAGCCATATAGAAAAAATGAAAATCTCTCTAAAATCTACATCATTATTTAAATAAAATACAACATTTTATACTAAACAAAAAACCCTTATATTTAAATACAACATTTGATAAGTATTTAACAGTTATTTTTTCCGATAGAATACCTTGGGTACCACTTAAGTTTAAGAATTGGGGCAGAGATACCACTTAAATTTGAATAGGGCGTCAGGTACTATTAAAGTTGCCAAAAGGTGAATCCGTCTAGTTTTTCATCCAACCCAAATCTTTAATTACCTTTTGGTACGCAAAACTGTTTAAAACATCCAAAACTATATTTTAACAAGTTTTATCTAATATAAAAATAGAAAACCTTCTAAACACAGTATTACTCGAATGACTAATGAAATTTTTTAATATAATAGATAAGTTATTAAAAATAATAAACGAATATCAAGAAGGAATAATATATATAATAGAAGATAATAATTAATATATAAAAATCAATATTAGAAGATCTATTTAAACCCCTAATACAATTAGAAGCACCACTAAAAATAGTTAAAGTAGAACCTAATCGATCATCAATACATCAAGACCAAAGAAGATCTATGTAAACTATAAAAGCTACAACATTAAGTAATAAATTTAGAAAAGAAAATATGACTATAGGAAGATAATTCCAATTAGTAAATTTAACTAGTATAAACATCTACATAGCATATGTTTGGCCCGGCTTTTAGAAGTGCTTTTTGACTTCAAATGCCGAAGCAGAGCCAAACACCTCTAAAAGCTCGGTTTGAAAAGCCGGAAAACGCTTTTGTATAACATAAAAGCAGAAGCTCCGATTTGGAGCTTCTGCAAAAAGCTGTTTTGAAAATACAAGATTATCCTTACCATATTTTAATTTTATTTCATAAAATATAATTTTTCTTCATTTATATCATTTTAAAAATAAAATATATTATAAAATTATATTATTTAATATAAAATAAATCTAACAAGATCCATTTTTACTACTTTTATTGTTTAAAATATTTATTCATATTTTATATTATAAGTCTTTTATAGTCATTTTACACAATCGCTCATATTAAAAAGCACTTCTACTAGTTTTACATCCAAACACTAAATTGCTTTTTTTGAAAAGTAAAAATATTAGAGAATTACAAGTAGATTTAATATAGAAAAGTAGATAAGATGAGCATGTAAGAAAACTAAATATAACATCTTCAAATTATTTATATCGAGACAAAATTCATAGTATATATTTGCTTAAGAGAATAATTCAATTTTTAGAACACATAATGATGATTGAAAATATATATAATGATAATTGATTCTAAATTTTTTTATTCAAAAATTGATTTGGTATAAAATAGATTCTTCAAAATAAAAAATAAAAAATGATATTTTTCATAAGTCCAAATTTTTTTCTTTCAATAACAGTTAGGAGAAGGACCAATTTTGAAATTTAAAAAACGAAATATTTTAAAAATACTCACTTGATAGTAAACTTAAGTGGTACCGAGCACACATATGATAGAGTTTAGTGACACGCAATACCCTATTCTTACTTAAGTGGTAAAACTCTTTCAATTCTCATATTTAGTAGTATTTTACCCTATTTCCTCCTATTTCCCCCCTCTTTTTCAGCCCTCCATCCTCATTTTATTTCATCTCCCTAACCCTAATTCTTATTCTTATCTCAATCTATCTATCTATCCTAGGTTTTTGTTTATTTTTGTATTATATTTTGGGAAGGGGGTTTGTGTTCGTCGGTACTAATATATTTTTTGGTGGGTAATCAATGAATCACGAAAACTGAAAAGCCTCTTCCACTTTCTGTATCTGTTGGTTTGCGTCTCCCTCTCTCTCTCTTCTCGTTTCATTTTCTCTCTCAATCAGTCACTCCCTCTCAACGAAAATTATTCTTCTATTCAATTAATAATTATTTGTTTAATTCAATAAAATAAAACCCCCAAGATGGAGAAAAAGTTTCTGTATTTGCCTGCTGCTGCCTATTGATTCCCAGTTCCAGTTTTAGTATCATTTTGTCATATCAATCTCCTCCTCCACCCAAGACAAAAAAAACTACAGCCTTCTTCCCTTCCCTTAATCCCTTCTCCTTTCCCCCAAAACCTTCTTCTTCTTCTTCCCATCTCTATTTTCAGTGGAGCAGAAATGTGGGACTTGAACGACTCCCCCGTTCAGAGAAGAACCGCGGCGGTGCCGGAAGATGTATCGGAAGAAGGGTGCTCCAGTAATTCCCAAACCGACAAGGGGAAAAGGGTCGGATCCGTGTCGAATTCCAGCTCCTCCGCCGCCCAGCCCATGGAAGACGGATCGGAAGAAGAACCCATGGTGGGCGGAGGGAGAATGATGTCGTCGTCGAGGAGCATGAGCAGCAGGATATTCGGGTTCTCCATGGCGGCGGCGGAGGAAGAAGAAGAAGAAGAGGAAGAGGATTTGGAGATGATTATGAGCAGCAGCGAGGGCCTCCCTGGGCCAGTGACCCGGCAGTTTTTCCCGATGGAGGGTACGGAAATTGTGGGCCCATCTTCTACCTTGGTCGGCGAAGGAGGAGGAGGAGGTAGCATCGGCGCCGCCGCGAGAGGGTTTCCCCGGGCTCACTGGGTAGGAGTGAAGTTCTGCCCATCGGAATCGGAATCGGCGGTGGTGGCGGGGGCGCAGCCGATGAAGAAGAGCCGGCGGGGCCCGCGGTCGAGGAGCTCGCAGTACCGAGGAGTCACCTTCTACCGGCGAACCGGCCGCTGGGAATCCCACATTTGGTCCGTTCCCCCCCAAAATAATTATTTTTTAACATTTTTGTTTCTTTTTTTCTCCCCCGGAATTTGTTTTTTTTTTTTACTGTGGGTAAATCAATAAAACCAACTACCCCTCTCCCCCTCTCTCTCTCTCTGATTGCGCAGGGATTGCGGGAAGCAAGTCTACCTGGGTAAGTTCTTCTTTCTGGGTTTTTGCTGTATGGTTAAATCTGGAAGGGGAATTGTGAGAAAGAAATGGGTTTCTGGTTGGTTACTGATGGAATGAGGGTGTTGTTATTATGGTGTTGTGTGGTAGGGGGATTTGACACAGCACATGCAGCTGCTCGGTGAGTTCTCTTCTCTCTCTCTCTCTCTCTAGTGGTCGTTTTGTCTGCATACCTGCTAACATTCTTCTTCTTCTTCTTCATACATAACATCTTATTATGAGCTCATGAATGAATCCAGACAGACAGACAGATGGGTGTTGAATGATGAATTGATGAGTTTGGGTGGGCTTGTTTTGTTTTGTTTGTTGTGTGGTGTTGCAGTGCATATGATAGAGCGGCGATCAAGTTCAGAGGTGTGGAGGCTGATATTAACTTCACCATTCAAGATTATCAAGACGACCTCAAACAGGTATATATAATATATCTGGGTATGCATACAGCTAGCCAGCTAGCTAACTTTGTACATGTTTCACCTTATCGTTAACAGTTGCTCCCACAATCGATCCATCTTCTTCTTCTTCTTCTTGGAATATATAGAAAGACTTAAGCACTATTGCTTTTTGTTGTTGTTGTTGCTGTATATATAAAATAGATGAGCAAGTTGACGAAGGAGGAGTTTGTGCATGTACTAAGGCGACAGAGCACCGGTTTCCCAAGGGGGAGTTCCAAATATAGAGGCGTCACTTTGCACAAGTGTGGCCGCTGGGAAGCTCGTATGGGCCAATTCCTCGGCAAAAAGTACCCTTCACCTTCTTCTCCTTTTCCCTTGTCAGAATTTTATTATTGTCTGTTACTCATAGACACATTTTTCCTTTTGATTCCCCCCACAGGTATGTTTACTTGGGTTTGTTTGATACTGAAATTGAAGCTGCCAGGTAGGTAACATGGCCAATTTTTCTTGCCATCTTTTCCACAATATATTCAGATCCTCTCCTTATTTTTTGTTGATATTCCATTTCTACAGGGCTTATGATAAAGCAGCAATTAAGTGCAATGGCAAGGATGCGGTGACAAACTTTGATCCAAGCATTTATGATGATGATGATGAACTCAACGCAACTTCCTCCACCACCACCAATAATAACAACAGCAACAGCAACTCCCCTTCAGCTGGTGCCCTTTTCCCCTTCAATCACATTTCCATTACTGAAATTGATCGCGTAATTAAGCTACATTGCAGTGATTTTATCTCAACTAATTCACAAAACCCGCAGGCAGTATGGGCGCTGCTACCGATCACAATCTCGATCTGAGTCTGGGTAGTAATTCCTGTCAAGAATCCAACAATCTCGATCACCAGACGAGGCCTCGCCATGGTCCTGCTTCTTCTGCCGGAATGGATGCCATTGCTGCGTTCGATCCCAGCTGCTGGCGGAATCGCGGATTAAGGCCTCATCAGGTTTGTATCTTTTTCTTTATAATTGCTAGTGATTTTTACTTGACGAGAAGTGTTAACAGCATTAGTTGTCCTTCCCGGGGTTTCGTTGTAATGTACAGAACAATGAGGAGCAGCAGAGAAGCAACGAGATGGAAGCAATGCAGCTGCTTAGTCAAACCCACATCCGCTCTCCTGGATCTCTTCATCATTACCCTAACCACCTCCTCCCGCCTCCCCATCATTTCCAGGTATCACTAATATCATTTTTTTGTTCACCTAAATATGGTTCGTTCAATTTTCGATACATTTTTCACAATCTGAAATTCCTTGAAAGCAACCCTCATCAGCTCACATTTTTGGCTTCTGGGCAAATAATAATACTCCAAAAAAATGTGAATTTATGTTGGTACATTTTAAGAGGAAAATTGTAGTATGAGTTTCTAATTGGGTTGGTGGTGTAATTTCAGTTTGCAAACAGCAGTAACACAGGAGCAGGAGGCGGAGGCAGAATTGGGAGTGATCTCTCGTTATCTCCAAGTGATAATAATCATCATAATTATAACTACGATCAGCAGCAGCAGCAATGGCAATTATCAGGAGGAGGAGGAGGAGCTACAAGAGCGCCGCCTCCCCAACCACCAGCGCCGCCGCCACATCAGCAGCAGATGTATGGAAGTGCCGCCGCCGCAGCAGCATCATCAGGATTCCCCAAGCCGCCGTCTCCATCCCCCAACTGGCTGCACAAAAATGGGTTCCATTACTCCCTCTTGAGACCCTCGTAGTTAATTAACTCCGCCATTTTTATGCGATTAACTTAGTTGTCAATTTTATTAGTAGAAGTACTACTGCCACTGCCTGAAGCTTGTAATTAGTTAATTTAATTAAATAGGGTGGGTAAACGAAGGCAGAAGGGTCGAGGGTGCATTTTTATGGTAAAAAGGTAAATCCCAATTCAGGGTTTCTGACTCAAAACTGTTGGCTGCTGTTACTATTTGCTTTGGCGCCCTACATAATTCCCCATTTAATGCCCCTACATATAGTCTGTTTTTCTTTAGCCCACCTAATCGAGTAACAAACAACCTTGCTTTGAGGTGATCTTTCTGGCTTCCCTAATTGAGTAATCCCACAAGTTGCAAATGCAATGCAAGGCAAGATCCCCAAATCAGTCAATAAGAGAGGGATAGAGAGGATTGGAGTTTATAAAAAAAAAAAAAGGTAATATTTTGGGCATTTCTCAAAACCTAGCTAATAGGGGAAAGAACCCATTATTGTTTTTACCCTCTGAGCCACTTTGAGTTTAACTTTCTGTAGGAAGAGGGTGAAAAAAAGGAAGGAAGAAAGAGGGGATGGGGTTGTCTTGGAAATATGAGCAGATAGTGAGATGAATAGTCACAATCTGGAGTGTCCTTTGAATCAGTTCTCTTTGGAGGGCAAAAGCCAGTCAGACATTATGGCGAGAGGGACTTGTCAATATTAACCAAAAACAAAAAAAAAAAAAAAAAAGTAAAAAATGATAGAGAGAACCCCAAAGAAAAGAATGGAAACATAACAACTTCACAAGGCATAGCAGCAGCTAGAGAAAACAAAATTCAGATTCGGAAGAGAACTCGTACATTTACAGGCGCAACAGCTTTACTTTGTTTTTACTATTGACATGATTGCTTGCTCTTTGGGCTCTTCTTTAGTAAAAAGAAGGAGTTGCCATTTATGTACAACTTCAGAGTTTGCCCCCACAAGGCTGCAGTAGAGGTGATTTTAACCTCTGATTTTTTACTCATGGACACCATATATAATAAGTATAGATAACTCACTTTTTTGGTCATCAAAGTCTTCATTTACCGGCTCAAGATGATATAGTGCATAATGAAGATCAGGTGATACACCTATCAGTAATTAAATCTGGATCTTTCATTTAAAAAATTCAGATTTAAAGATGGAGAATTAAATATATTTTTATTTTTCCCTTATTTCCTTAATCGGCTCATATCTTCGTTTACGTCTGATTTTTACTCATGAACACCATATATAATAAGTATAGATGACTCACTTTTTTGGTCATCAAAGGCTTCATTTACCTATGTAGGGGTAGTCCTTGAAATGTAACAATTTAATAGTCCAAATTTTCAGTCTAGTGAGACTTTTCCTCGATTAGTCCTAGATCTGTGCGAGTGGAATAACTTGGCTGCTCTACAGTCGACGATAGTGAAGAGAGAATGACAGAAGTCGGGTCGACCTGAGCTGGAGAAAAGGATTGGAGAAGTCGTGAGTGTGGTTGTTCCATGGTCAAATGTGTTGAGAAGCAGGGCATATGATCGGGTCGATTGGAGCTGGAGAAGAATTGGAAAAAGTCGTGAATTGTGGTTGCTTTGTTGAAATCAACAACGATAAAAGCGAGATTGAGAGAGAAAGAAAAAGAACAATCAGCATAATATACCCTATAAGTTTAATTGCTTTTTTTTTTTACAACCCTCTTATACGATTTCACAATTCTTGTTTGTTTATATAAAAAAATTTGTAAGTGATTCAAGTGAATAATAAAGTCTGGATTTAGTACCTACAATTACGTGCCCTCTTTTTCTGTTTTAACCCCTTCTGTCAGGATTTACCTCAAGTGTAAGAAAAATGCCAAGTGAAATTATGTTATGTCTACATCTATATTCCAAACACTAACTCCTGCATTGAGAAACAAAGGCCAAATGAAACTAATGGAAGAAAAAAAGGGATAAAATAGGAAAACATAGAACCTGCGAGATAAAGGAAAGGAGTGTACGAGGAAACATCCTCTAGTGCTCTTTTTGAATCTTAAACACAAACAAAAGGAGACGAAGATATTTTTATTATAGTATTGATTAATCGTTAATTAAATACTAATTACTTTCATTGTCACATGAATGATTAAGAAGCTAGAAGAGGAAAACCCATCAGAATCCGTCCAGGTTAAACAAATTCTGATAATCTTTAGTTGGTTTGGATCGACTGATGTTGTCATGTATTTCTTAAACTATTTGATTATGCAAGAGGGCAGGTGGTCTTATTTAAAGATAATATAGAGTACAACTTACATATATTTTTATATTCTTTTTAAGATTAATATGGAATTATTATATAATCAGAAATTTGCAATGTTCGTCATCTGGGTCGTCATCGCACAATATATTTATTAGCTAAAAAAGTAAGGACAATTGTGGTGCCCAAAAGTGGAAAACAAAAGAAAATCTTCTCCCATTTGCATCATTATATTTATTCTTATTGAAATTGTTAATCATAATAACAAGCCTGTGAACCAGAGCAATTGGACTTGGCTGACCAGTTTTCTTTTGTTTAATAATTTTATGCTTTGCTGACACGTCTACTACTTTGTGACCACGTGAATCTTACCCTTTCATTTGTTTTTTAATGCCAGTTATTCCTCTTTTTTTTTTGCTTAATCACTAATCATAATTAAGTAAGTCCCACCGTACTAATGCACTTTAAGCGGGAAATCTTAAAAAAAAAAAGGCAACTAACTCCAAGGCAAAACCCTAACCCGCCCCTCGTCTCTCCAATCACCATCTCTCTATTTTCATCATGAAAACCAATTAAACAACAAGGCGTAGGGGTGTGAATTGAACTTGATCTCATCGGTATTCAATCCGGCTTGAATTGACCAAAATGAGTAAAAGTTAGTGTTGATGGATTCGGTCTGATGCAAATTTAACTTGTTTTTTAATTTGACGGGTTGAGTTTTGTCAAAACCTAGTTCGGTTTCCACCCAACAGATACCATTGAAGTTAAATGACGTCATTTATCTAACCGAAACAAGACGAATACTTTACAGATGTTATTAGTTTTTATACCAATATAAACCTAAAATATGGATAATGTACGAGGGTCGACGAAGGGAGGGGAAGCCGAAACTGGGAAGTTTTGGTGGAGGGTGGCTGGGGTTTGGAGGGCGGAAGCGAATTCGATATCGAAGGGTGGCTGGGGTTTGGAGGAGGAGGACGAAGAAGGAAGAATTAGGGTTGGCTGGACGGGGTCTTTTTCGGTGATGGGGAATAGTGTCATTTTTGGATTGGGGAACGGCCTAACGGGGTCGTTGTTTGGATCAGGAAACAACGTCATTTTGGATTTGTGAGTGGAGGTTGGTTAGTTTCGGTTAGCCGGTCCACCACGATTAATCACTAGTGGTTACTCGACTAACCGAAAATCCTCTCCCCTCACAGAGCACCGACCGACCTAAATAACCGTCGGTTTTTGGTTAGCTGCTAACTGACGGTTATTGGTTAACACCAATGGTTAGCCGCTAACCAAAAATCGACCAGCCACCCTAGATATATTTATCGTGAAAATTTTGATAACATTTAGATGTGTGTATCCAAAGAAATAATGTATTGTTATGTTCACGAACCTTTGAGTATCCGTGCACCCGTACGCATCCACACATCCTTGGGATTGAGTTTTCACTTCTAAAACCCAATGGCTATTTTAAAAAAAAATTTCAATACCATTAGATTGGTTTTAGGTTCAGAGAAACCCGATCCATTGTCGTCTCTAAACAAATGTGTATTTATTTTCACTTTTTTATTCTAAATTTTTTCTCCAACTTTAATTTTATATAAAAACAAACACACTTTTACACAGTTGGCTCAAATTTGAGTAAAAATCACTATTCAATTTAAACCTTAAACCTTAATTAAATTTAAAATCTATCTCACAAAAGAATTTCACTTTAAAAATTTAATCTTAAAATAATATAATAAATTCTAACCCTAATATTCATTTATCACTTTTTGTTCACTATTTTATTACTAGCTAATAACCCGGCCCGTTGGCCGAAATATTTATATTTGATTATTTATATTTTCATGTTACGTTTAAATCTATCAACCTGTTTAATTTTATTGACAATCCTTCAATCGAGATACATAAAGAAAGAATATATAGATCAAACATTTGGAGAAATATAAAAATGTATCATTGATCTCATTTTCAAAATGATAATTAAGTCCCCGGTAAAATGCTATTTGTTAGTTGATTGTCAAGAAAGATAGAGTATAAAAGCTCACTGAAATTCCCTCACTAAATCTTAAACCTCGCAATCTTACATAAAGATTCAATGCTCTCATTTTAGAAACAATATGCCACTTATAAAAAAGAAATAAAGAGTTGTTGATTCCAGTAAACTATATGCTAACAACTCAGCTAAGAGGGACATCACAACTTGAGAGCAAACGCTAAAATTAGGGTTACTTCCAATATACTAATATATTCGATCAAAATAATAAGGAACAAAATTAGACACTTCTATGACTGTCTTCCCATACTCGCCCTTGAGTAAATGGCTTTATTGGTAATATGGTATGAGCCAGCTGCTTTGGCTCTCTCGGGGGAGCTTTTATCCTTTTGATGGAGTTATGTTTTATGTCATTTAATTCTTAGGAATGTACAGTAAAGTTTTGAAGGAACCCAAACAGATAGATGTTTCCTTTTGTTTCGGCCTTCGACTCTACTGGTCCATCCTCTTCTTCCATTGGCATTTGGCAACTGGCACCATAGATATTTTAGACGGGAAAAGGCAAGCTAAGAACAGAAAGCAAAATGAGAGAGGGGAATCCTAAAAATGCCTTGTCTTAAGTGGGACCATAAGTCCATAACCAATCCTTGTTTTCGTTGTTGCCCACTACTAGGGTGGCAATGGGTCGGGTGCAGGTGGATAGTACATATAAGAAATCGGTAGAAAATCAAAACTATATTTATACCCGTTCGGATTTGGTGTATTCACGGTTATTCATGGGTAATAATTTCTCTTCATAACTCAAACTAATATGTTAACATTCAAATGCATTCTCACATTACGTAAGAGAAAAAGTACGATAATAATTTGCTAGAATGAAGAAAATTAATTAAAACAACATAATTTCATAAAAATATTATATTTATATGCTAAATATAAAATATATTAGAGAAAAATAATGATTATTTCTAGACAAAATACATATGCTTGTATAATCGGGCGGGTTCGGTCTGGATAGTGAGAAACTCATGCCCACCCATTACCCGCAATATTCGGTTTCGGGTTTTACCCGTACCCACTAAAAGTCCTTCGGATTCGAGTTTTACCCTACCCAAATCTGTCGAATTCAGGCGAATATTCATGGTTACAGATATTTTTGTCATCCTACCCACTACCGCAATGGCCTCGGGATCGCCTGTATTTGTGCTCGTATATAGATAGATCCTTATCCAACAATTTGTTTTCCTTAAAATATATTCTTCACTCTTTAAATTTCTTTTAATCCATTTTTTTTATAATGGTGAGAGAAATATTATTAATTAAATTTCTTTTAATCCATAATAATATAATGTGCACGAACTAATATTGCTCGATCATGTTTAAAGTTAAAGTTAATCATTTGATGTATGCAATTTTGTTGGTAATAAACAGATCACTACACTCAATAATCGATCGGTTCAAAATAATAATACAGTAATCTTAATTGAAACTTTTAGTATAATGTTTCCACTTAAAAAAATTCTTATAAGTTTAAGCGAAGGCACTGACTATATTTTTTTATTCTAAACTTTACTATAAAACTGCAACCTCATGTTCCATCGAGTTCAACTCAAAGAAGCTATAATTAACTTGAAAAAAGCTCTACCTATCAAATATTCCGACGTTCGATTTGATTGAAGCAACATCTATAATGGTGGGAAGGAAGATGGAGAAGCAGAAACATCCCCACCACAGTACAAATGGTATGGCTTAAAAATGGGCTTCTATCAAGAGTTTGAAATGACCTTGTCTCCACTTAGATTAAAGCAAAATTGTTTTCGACAATCTTTCAATGATGTCGGCAACTAGTCTAGTCTAGTGGTCTTTTTATGATTTCCACTCCTTGGGATTATATATTCAGGGTTATAGGTATAATATGCCCTTCTATTATGTAGTTTTATCAAACATGCCCATAGACTATTTTTTATATCAAACATGTCCTTGTACTTTGGAAAAATTATCAAACATGCTCTTCTGTTAAAATTTCCATTAAAAAAATCGCCAACCATGGTTGAACCGAGATGTAGATGACCCGACATTGGCAAATGAGAGCGAAAATGTCAGTTTTGTTCCCCATTTTATTTTTATAGGTCTCATTAAAGTGAAATTATTAGAGGTATTTGGCTCTACAAAAGAACCCAAAATTTTAAAGTGAAATTACCAAGGATATTTTAGACATTTGTGTCGCACAAACCAAGGGACGACCATGATTAACTGTTTTGGATGAAAATATTAACCGAAGGGCATGTTTGATCATTTTTCTAAAGTACAAGGGCATGTTTGATGTAAAAAATAGTAGAGGGGCATGTTTGCTAAAACGACATAATATAGGGGCATATTATACCTATAACCCTATAATCATCTAAAGAAAGAAGTCATTTTCCCGCACTTTGTGAGTGTTTCGCACCTTTTAGTTACGTTGGTGAAAGAGAGCTTTTTGTTGTAATAATTTCATTGCATCTCTCACATTAAATTCTAAAGTTTTAGTTTGAATAAACAGGAATGGATCACTAGCAAACTTCACAAGCAATAACGAATGTGGATCCAAGAGGTTGGTTGTTGGTTGCACGGCTTCTCATTACCAAAGTTAAATGAGCCCAAAGATTAGTCCCACGTTCAAGTGTGGAGCTCAAAGGCCCACAATTCTGTAATGTTTTTTTTTTATACCCAAATGTACTTTATTCGGAGCAATAGCAAAAAATACTAGGAAGTCCCTCTAATACTATGGATAAGTCACCAGAGAGATCTATAACTTATAAGAAACAATTAAATCTTAACTGAAAATACACATTTTCGGGGTTAAACGGATGAGTTCTTCTAAGAACACTAAAATTAAACGTGTTCGGTCTGGAGCAGTGTAAGGATGTATACCCAAAGCGGACAAGATCTTAGTGAGAAAAAGTCGGAATGTTACAAGTTGTATCAGAGTCTCTACGCGCCTCTCATGAAGGATGGTGGGGCAAACTTCAACGAGAATGATGAGTCCCAAAGGGGATTGTATTCAACACCTTAAGCAAATCTCACATTGACAAAGCACCCGAGAGATTCATGATTCAAAAGGAACAATCCAACCTTAACTAAAAGACGCATTTTGGGATGAAATTGATGAGTTCTTGTAGCAACTCTAATGCTAAACGTGCTCAGTTTAGAGTAGTATAGAATGAGTGACCTATTCGAAGTTACCATGATGCATCCAAAAGAAAAAACTATGTGGTGGTACGTACAGATAAAAAAACTTGTTCATAAAAGGTTGAGATGTTATAGTCCCTCTCATAAGAAAATCCATAAAAAATCAGTATTTTCAAAGTTCAAATGTTACACCTCGGTTGGATATTATTTTTATTAAAATACCCTTATAAAAAAAACTAAAACATTAAATGAATCATGATGGATTACACCACGAAACGTACCACAATCCCGTGTCACAACTAATAATTGAGGTATGACAACAACAGAACTTATCACAACCTAGTTCCATACATGACCACATGATAACCACGAAACTTATCATTGACAGTCTGCATACCTTATCAATTAGCACATAATTTGTGATTGTTCGGTAGTGACAAATCGTGAGAGTGACTAGCTAAGCCAGGCTTAAATTTCTTTTTACTTAAAATGTGTTCTTATACTTGATATCCTGTACTTGGCGGCACGAATCTAATCGCTCACATCATAGAGAGATGTAATTAAGCTCATATTTGTTTACTTTCTTAAAAGCTTGAACTTGCTTAACTTGTTTGAGCATATATTGTTATGCTTGCTTAAGTCAATGTAGTTTACTAATGAATCATGATGTTATGCGTACTGAAATCTTATTGAACAAAAATAGCTTGACTTAAACGAAAGCGAGTAAATGAATACCTGAAACTAGTGTTAGATCCACTCATTGGCTGGATGAATTATTTATTTGGTACCATGAAAGAACGCCAAATTATTCAATTACAAAAAATATTTTAAAAAAATTACATCGTAAGGTTCACAACATCTTGATCATTTATGGACAACAACCATTATCAAAATTAAGCAATACAACTCATAAAAGAAACTGATTTAGTGACTTCTAAAGAATTTAATATTCAAAACGCACTTCAATGTACTCTATGTTGTTGAAAATTACTGCAAATTTCCTTTTTGATTGCGCCGCCATCAAAACATTCTTCTCCACACAGTTTTATCTTCATTTATGAAACTTTATATACACCATCAATAGTCTCTTCCTTATCCTCTAAAAATGTTTGAAAATGTAAGACATATTTTCACGATAGTAGAATTGTACCTCATATGAATCATAAATATTATAGACCATTAGCGACCACTACCGCCACCGCCACTCTCACTGATGCTACTCCTGCCGTTTCATTCTCTCACCGCCAGTTGCCTTCCTATCGTCCGTTGCCACGAGTGGGACCTTGATGGCATCCGTGATACTGGTATGTGTCTCAAATTACGTGCCTCGTTCACGTCCCTGCAAATTTTTGCCGGGTAATGTTGGTTCAATTGAGTTTGCCTAGGGGTGGGCAACGGGACGGGATGGGATACTCGTCCCGTTTGAAACGGGTACCCAAACTCATTTGAAGTAGAAATTATATTCCATGCCCCAAAGGCGTACGAGTTAACGAGTACCCATTACCCGTACGGGACGGATAACGGGTAACCGCGGGTAACCCGTAATTCTCTTCCTCTTCCTCCAATCTTAAACAAATCATTCGTCCGCCATTTTTTCTAGAGCAGAGCAGTAAAAAGAAGCGAAAAGCTGTACGGATTCAATTAACCGTAGCCTTCATTCAATGAATTAGAGTTAAGCTGATGCCTGATTATACCAATTAAGACTTCTTTGTGGTCTTCTGTTTTATCTAATACCTATGTTGCTTAGATTAAAAAAAATGGTCCATGGGAACGTGAAATAAGATGTGTCCCAGAATTTCAATAAGTTTTCATATTTGAGGGCAATCACTTGGATTCATCAAGACAACCGAGACCTATTTGAATGGCTTCATCTGTATTTTTTACTTGGGCGGGTAGTACGGGTACCCGTAACCCTCAAATAACGGGACGGGTATGTGTATACCCAAATACCCGTTTTTCGTTGCCATTTACTTTTGGGTGTCCTCCCCAAAATGCATCGTACTAATGAGTTTGGTGCACATAACAAGGGTTCCTTCCCTTGTATTATCGATGTGGTACTTGGATTGTCCGAAATACTTTCCTTTTATGTCACGTGTAGTGTTAGAACGAAGAGGATAGGCTCCTCATCTAGTCTCACTTATGAGATGCTTTGTCCTTACATTCTGATTATACAGTTGGTGATGTTACCCTTGTGGTTATGCAGCCTAAAAATGGTGTGTATACAGTTGGTGATTTTATGACAAAGAAAGACGAGTTGCTTCCGGTCAAACCGACGACGACTGTGGATGAAGGTGCAGGTTTGAATTAGCCGTAGCCTTGTTGACTAGTCTATATTTTAGTTACCGATGTAGATTCTGAGGGGGAACTGGTGTGGTGAGAGAGATGCTTTTATCACTTCTTAAGCAGTTCAAAGTCTCAGTTTGGTTCTGTTAAGAACACTGTATAAGCTACTATGCGTAATGTGTCCGTTTCACAAAATACCTATCTCATGATGAGCTGAGATTCACAATTCCGTTTGGGTTGAGCTGTTTCAAGCCTCCTCAAAATTGACGGACCAGAAAGCTTTGTGTAAGATCAGGATGAGCTAGCTTAGTAGCTTTACTGATGCGTAGATATTTTGCTTTAATGCTTTGTATCCACACGTGCATTATATGTACTTTTCTCAAGGGTGCCAATAAATTCACCCTGATGTTCTCTCTTGTAAAATCTCAAAGGGTGTCATTCAC